TGTTGAAGGTGTACTGAGGGTTGGAGGCGGCCCGCTGAGCGTACCTGCACGAGGAACATTGCTTACCTACTTAATTGAATTTAAAACCTATCGACCACACGAAGGCCATTAGTTTACTTTAATTCCTAAAATAAGGATATATATATATATATATATATATATATATAATATATATATATTTTTTTTTTTTTTTTTTTTTTATCACACCGGCCGATTCCCACCAAGGCAGGGTGGCCCGAAAAAGAAAAACTTTCACCATCATTCACTCCATCACTGTCTTGCCAGAAGGGTGCTTTACACTACAGTTTTTAAACTGCAACATTAACACCCCTCCTTCAGAGTGCAGGCACTGTACTTCCCATCTCCAGGACTCAAGTCCGGCCTCCCGGGTTTTCCCTGAACCCCTTTCATAAATGTTACTTTGCTCACACTCCAAACAGCACGTCAAGTATTAAAAACCATTTGTCTCCATTCACTCCTATCAAACACGCTCAAGCATGCCTGCTGGAAGTCCAAGCCCCTCGCACACAAAACCTCCTTTACCCCCTCCCTCCAACCCTTCCTAGGCCGACCCCTACCCCGCCTTCCTTCCACTACAGACTGATACACTCTTGAAGTCATTCTGTTTCGCTCCATTCTCTCTACATGTCCGAACCACCTCAACAACCCTTCCTCACCCTCTGGACAACAGTTTTGGTAATCCCGCACCTCCTCCTAACTTCCAAACTACGAATTCTCTGCATTATATTCACACCACACATTGCCCTCAGACATGACATCTCCACTGCCTCCAGCCTTCTCCTCGCTGCAACATTCATCACCCACGCTTCACACCCATATAAGAGCGTTGGTAAAACTATACTCTCATACATTCCCCCCTTTGCCTCCAAGGACAAAGTTCTTTGTCTCCACAGACTCCTAAGTGCACCACTCACTCTTTTTCCCTCATCAATTCTATGATTACCTCATCTTTCATAGACCATCCGCTGACACGTCCACTCCCAAATATCTGAATACGTTCACCTCCTCCCTACTCTCTCCCTCCAATCTGATATTCAATCTTTCATCACCTAATCTTTTTATCCTCATAACCTTACTCTTTCCTGTATTCACCTTTAATTTTCTTCTTTTGCACACCCTACCAAATTCATCCACCAATCTCTGCAACTTCTCTTCAGAATCTCCCAAGAGCACAGTGTCATCAGCAAAGAGCAGCTGTGACAACTCCCACTTTGTGTGTGATTCTTATCTTTTAACTCCACGCCTCTGCCAAGACCCTCGCATTTACTTCTCTTACAACCCCATCTATAAATATATTAAACACCCCACGGTGACATCACACATCCTTGTCTAAGGCCTACTTTTACTGGGAAAAATTTCCCTCTTTCCTACATACTCTAACTTGAGCCTCCCCTATCCTCGTAAAAACTCTTCACTGCTTTCAGTAACCTACCTCCTACACCATACACTTGCAACATCTGCCACATTGCCCCCCTATCCACCCGTCATACGCCTTTTCCAAATCCATAAATGCCACAAAGACCTCTTTAGCCTTATCTAAATACTGTTCACTTATAGTTTCACTGTAAAACACCTGGTCCACACACCCCCTACCTTTCCTAAAGCCTCCTTGTTCATCTGCTATCCTATTCTCCGTCTACTCTTAATTCTTTCAATTATAACTCTACCATACACTTTACCAGGTACACTCAACAGACTTATCCCCCTATATTTTTTGCACTCTCTTTTATTTCCCTTTGCCTTTATACAAAGGAACTATGCATGCTCTCTGCCAATCCCTAGGTACCTTACCCTCTTCCATACATTTATTAAACAATTGCACCAACCACTCCAAAACTATATCCCCACCTGCTTTTAACATTTCTATCTTTATCCCATCAATCCCGGCTGCCTTACCCCCTTTCATTTTACCTACTGCCTCACGAACTTCCCCCACACTCACAACTGGCTCTTCCTCACTCCTACAAGATGTTATTCCTCCTTGCCCTATACACGAAATCACAGCTTCCCTATCTTCTTCAACATTTAACAATTCCTCAAAATATTCCTTCCATCTTCCCAATACCTCTAACTCTCCATTTAATAACTCTCCTCTCCTATTTTTAACTGACAAATCCATTTGTTCTCTAGGCTTTCTTAACTTGTTAATCTCACTCCAAAACTTTTTCTTATTTTTAACAAAATTTGTTGATAACATCTCACCCACTCTCTCATTTGCTCTCTTTTTACATTGCTTCACCACTCTCTTAACCTCTCTCTTTTTCTCCATATACTCTTCCCTCCTTGCATCACTTCTACTTTGTAAAAACTTCTCATATGCTAACTTTTTCTCCCTTACTACTCTCTTTACATCATCATTCCACCAATCGCTCCTCTTCCCTCCTGCACCCACTTTCCTGTAACCACAAACTTCTGCTGAACACTCTAACACTACATTTTTAAACCTACCCCATACCTCTTCGACCCCATTGCCTATGCTCTCATTAGCCCATCTATCCTCCAATAGCTGTTTATATCTTACCCTAACTGCCTCCTCTTTTAGTTTATAAACCTTCACCTCTCTCTTCCCTGATGCTTCTATTCTCCTTGTATCCCATCTACCTTTTACTCTCAGTGTAGCTACAACTAGAAAGTGATCTGATATATCTGTGGCCCCTCTATAAACATGTACATCCTGAAGTCTACTCAACAGTCTTTTATCTACCAATACATAATCCAACAAACTACTGTCATTTCGCCCTACATCATATCTTGTATACTTATTTATCCTCTTTTTCTTAAAATATGTATTACCTATAACTAAACCCTTTCTATACAAAGTTCAATCAAAGGGCTCCCGTTATCATTTACACCTGGCACCCCAAACTTACCTATATATATATATATATATATATATATATATATATATATATATATATATATATATATATATATATATATATATATGCAATAAGATCACAGTAAACAGGTGATTTCAGAATATGCAAAACAACCACTGTGAAAGAATAGAGAAGTTCCAAGCGCTTTCGTGACTACTCACATTATATATATATATATATATATATATATATATATATATATATTATATATATATATATATATATATATATATATATATATATATATATATATATATATATATATACGGAGAGAGATTAATACATGTGGGAGTATGTACCCCTTGTTGCAGGAAAATAAACATATTTAGTGAGAAGCAGTAGAATGATAACTACACCAAGTGGCTTAACTCTCTTTGTAAAACATTAATAAGAAGAATTAAAAGAAGAAAAAGCGACATATTATAACTCTGTCACTTTTAGTCTGAAATAGAGTAATTTTTCCCATTCATTAGTACCAAATACGGTTGGTAATTACCCATTTATTCTCGATACAACGTTCGGAATATATGCTGTAACCTTCTCTAATAATCATGAAGTGTAACTGAAATACAACGCTAGTGCTGTATGATTGTATTACACGTGTGTAAGAAACTCCAGAGCTGCTTCCAACATGCAGTTAAATGTAACCAACGCACGATAGCCGAACACTCCAGCAAGAGTTTATAATGAGGTGAGAATTAGATACAGGGTTTAACATGTTTGAAAAACAGTATATTTTCTAAACCATATCTAAATATTGTTAGCTACCTACCTGGAGTCTACCCTGAGAGGGTTCCGGGGGGTCAACGCCCCCCGTGGCTCGGTCCATCACTGAGCCTGTAAAAAAAGTTTTCCTAATATTCGCCAGTGTTATTAATGAGTGACTCTCAGAAGAGCATTGATGTGGTTTGTTGATGATGTTTGACATCATCAACCCCCGTTATCTCTAGCTCTCGCATGTGTTATTCTTTTTAATTACACAGGTCATAACTTTCATAAGGCCTATGTCTGCAGGGTTATACAAAACTTTTGATATTCTGCTTTATTTATATTTTTGTCTCTGTGACAAATCCACACGTATAATTGTGTGTATATACTCGCCTACTTGTGGCTGCAGAGGTCGAGTCATAGCTCCTAGCCCCGCCTCTTCGCTGTGTGTGTGTGTGTGTGTGTGTGTGTGTGTGTGTGTGTGTGTGTGTGTGTGTGTGTGTGGTGTGTTGTGTAGGTGTGTGTGTGTAGTGTATTTGTGGTTATTTTTTGTGTTCTTATGCTAACAAGCTTCAAACAGCAGTGCATTCCGGTATTTAATGAAAAATCACAGCATTTACTCACATAGTTTCAAGTGCTCGCCACAGCCTCAATGTTGATGTTTTGCCAGTAACCCTGAGACTGGCTTCCAACTGGGTCTTTGTATTTCCCGCTGACCCGAGGTAACTCAGGGTAAGTGCTGTCCATATGCTGTAAGGGGAGAAAAAGAAGTTCTTGGCTGTGCCCTTGCTGGAGAGCTCCCTGTAGAGGTCGAAGCCGAAGTCGCTGATGCCACTGAGGTCTGTGTTAAAGCTTCTGGAAGGGTTGCTGTTGTTGTCAGCAAAGCAGTGAGGGACGGTGCTACCCACTGTCGTCACGACCGCAGTCATCAGAGCAACCACTGACACAGCTATCCACCCCATAACTGCTGCTGCAACACAACAAAGAAACATTTATTTTGGAATAAAAAGAAATGTGTAGGAAAAACCAATGCACATGAACATTATTATTATTATTATTATTATTATTATTGTTGTTATTATTATTACTATTATTATGTATCCTCGATGGGGTACTTTTATAAAGTATTAGATTTGGGCTGTTTCTATCATTATTTACTGTTTTTATAAAAGAAATTTGAATATTAGTTTCCATATGATGACTTGTTAATTCCTCTTTTTATTCCCTTCAAATCTTTAACATTAATGTTTAACTGCATTATCAACTTGTGCCGCACTCTGCACTATTCCAATAGCGAGCATTGAGGTAGTGGGGACTGGGGTTATAAAACAGAGGAATACCTTGCACGTATCGCGCAAGCGACCAAAATGCATCTTATTATTATTATATTCATGGAAAGCACTAAACCCGAAAGGGTACAAGTGTACTCAGACATAAATTCCCCCTAGTTGGAAAGCTTATGCATGTAAATTCTTGTTTTTTCCTTCTGTCCTCCGGTCCAAGGGGACGTATAGGCTTTCTAATCATGCATATTGATTTAGTGAATCTCATGAACCACCTACATTTTTTTATGGCGAATCAGAGTGCGGAAACTTATCCATTTTAATGTTCCTGCGTAAGACAGGTTGGTGGCTAATGAGCTGAAGTGAGTCAAGTTCCACCTGGTGCTCTAGCTAATTACTGGAGGCCGAATACAAATGTTATACTCCGGTCCGTGGCCGCCGGGGTGTTGACCCTCGGGTATGCTCGAGTAAAGGGCCGCGGGGGCGTTGACCCCCGGAATGACCTCCAGGTAGCTAATAATGTTCCAAAAGAATGATCACTTCACCGCGCATCATGTTAATCATCAACACCAGAGCTGCTCTGTGTAACCCCCAGAAATGCTTTCCAGTTCATGGTCTCTTAAAAGTAGGACGAATCAGAATTACCTTGCGCATTTTTGGATCAAACCGGATTCTTCTATTTCCAAAGCGCTGAAGGACCTTAACGGTTTTAGCAGTTCCTTACAAATATAACAATTATATACCAACAACATTGGCCCAAGACGAGATGATGAAGATCAAAGTTAAGCTGTTTATGGATCCTCTCTCACATTGGTCTCCTGGACTGGGACAAAAAAAAAACGTCGAACAGAATTTTGGTTTCTCAAACAGAGGATTAAACCCCATTCTTAGAAAAGAACTAACAAACGAGTCTGAAGAGAATGGAACACTACAGATTGATATTAGCAGATCCATCGCTATGAAATGTGTGATGTATGTTTACATGACTGAGTAAAAATTTCAGTAGAATCCAAGACTTTGTAACGGCTAGGCTAAATAATGCTACAAGCATTTTGGACAGTCAAGTGTAAGCAGAGATGCCAGTCTCATGAAATGTAAACTTTATAAACAGAGAGAGAGAGCCACACACTTGAACAATATCTTTGGCCAAACATTCAACCATTTAGACTGAAAGACTCATCTGAATAATACGATCTTGTTGAGAGTGTATACACACATTGCACCGACTAGCTGAGTGAACTGTACCATGACCCAGAGAACCACTAATGTTTGTAGTGGTAATAACAAAATATCTAAATGTATTATGAGGTTATAACATTTTAAGTGAATTTAATATTTTTATGTTGTAAGTACATATGCGCAGTACAGTGTGGCAATACTCACAGAGGCCTCTGTAATGGAGTATTTTATGTGCTACCTCGCACAGGAAGATCCAAGTATGTGTAGTATATTAATTAGCTGCTCAGGCGGTACAAAGTAAAACGAAAGCTGTCTTAACAGCTTCATGGCTGACTCCATCAGACACGAGTAATGAAAATGGTCTGGGAGTCATTGGCAAAAAGAAAGATATTAACCAAGTCAACAGTGTCGTCTATTAGCTTCGAGTAATCACAAGTGGCAGGTAAGTTGATGTTGTTAGTGAATGAATCATGGATTCTTTTCCTATTTAATGGTGCTGTTGGTCTAATGGCGGGGCATGGAAAGAAAAAAAACGCCGGTGTTGCTAACGCAGGCAGTGTTTACCAGCAATAACGCGAACGTGAGATAGTCACTGGTCCGTTGATGAGACGATGGAGCTAGGTTGACGCAGGTGAGGATGTGGGGGTCTCACCTTATCTCCGCACTTCCGGTCATGTGTAAGGATCACAACACTTAACACTGTCACACATTGTGTGTCTGTGTCAAGATGACACCGTAAAGGCCTACCTGGATGCTTATAAACGAGTAGGCTGAAAGATGAGACAGGAAGATGACGCCACTAGTTTAGGACAGTGAGGAGCGAATACAGTGTAGACGTCCACAACCGAAGGCACTGAATGACTCCTGTGCTCTCCCACTTCCTATATATATATATACACTACACCTGCCCTGTTGCCTACCCTCGTGTCTCTGCCGTCCTGTCTACGTGATTTCCTACCCGCCTGTTTCCCTTCCAGTTGCCTGCTGTCTCCTTGCTTACCTGCCTGTCTGTAGGCAAACCAGTCTGCCTGTCTCCCTGCCTGCCAGCCCAAACCAGTTGCTGACAGTTATAAGTCTTGACACGGTTATTTAATTGTGAAGGCGAACAAGATGACCGAAACATTATTCTTACGAAATTCTATAATATTCAAGTTCACGGTGTCAGTATATTTGAAATGCCCAAAGGCTAAACGACAAAGCCCTTATGTAATTATTTATTTAAAGTTTGGGGACGTAACATTTTTTTTTTCTTCCAGTATTCTTGATAGCACACATATGTTGTAAGCAGTTAAAAAGTATATTATGTAGATTTAACCTAGAGAAAACTAAAGTTAAACAGTGACTTATTTCCATTATGATGCACAGAGAAGTCCAAAAGTTCCGCAACAAATTTAAACATTGATGAGTTAGTTGAGGAGTATGCAGACTTCCCAATGCTTGTATGAGAAACTGTGTCAGCACTGAATCTTAAGCTGTTTATTTCCAAGCAGAGCAGAAAATCTGTTTTTGGGTTTAGAGACACGATTGCTCAAGAAACTCCCAGAGACAGCTACTACCGAGCGATAATTCCAGGAGAGCGAGCGATAACTTAAGAAAATAGATATGTAAGACTGTGTTCTAGGAATGTACAGCAGCTTGGAAATCCCCAGGATCTGGTCCACGGGTTGAGAGAGTCAGTGACGTCACGCACGATAGCTTCACAAATTTCCGTGGGCTTGGTTTTACAACATAAGAACATAAGAACATAAGAAAGAAGGAACACTGCAACAGGCCTACTGACCCATGCGGAGCAGGTCCATGTGCCCCCCCCCCGGATTAGACCAATGACCCATCCCCCGGATTATCCCAATGACCCACCCAGTCTGGTCCTCCACTCAGGGATGGAGCACTGCACCAGACCCAGCAGCACAAGCTAGTCAGGTTCAACTCACACCCACCCACACCCACTCATGTATTTATTTAACCTATTTTTAAAACTACACAACGTTTTAGCCTCAATAACTGTACTCGGGAGTTTGTTCCACTCATCCACAACTCTATTACCAAACCAGTGATTTCCTATATCCTTCCTGAATCTTAATTTTTCCAACTTGAAACCATTGCTGCGAGTCCTGTCTTGGCTGGAAATTTTCAGCACGCTATTTACATCCCCTTTATTTATTCCTGTTTTCCATTTATACACCTAGATCATATCCCCCCTAATTCTACGCCTTTCGAGAGAGTGCAGATTCAGGGTCCTCAGTCTATCCTCACAGGGAAGATTTCTGATACATGGGATCATCTTTGTCATCCTTCTTTGTACGTTTTCCAGAGCATTTATATCCATTCTGTAATACGGTGACCAGAACTGCGTAACTTTCCCAGGGTCGAGTGTATGGTTGCCAGCTGAGCCATCCAGTGGCAGAGTTTGTGCAATGAGTCAGTTGTGTTGTTGTTGTTGTTGTTGTTGGGAGGTCGACAACACCACTAGTTGTTTATTATGACCACTGTATCTCTGTCGCCCCATGATTATGACCACTGTATCTCTGTCACCCCATGATTGTGACCACTGTATTTCTGTCACCCTATGATTATGACCACTGTATCTCTGTCACCCCATGATTATGACCACTGTATCTCTGTCACCCCCATGATTATGACCACTGTATCTCTGTCACCCCCATGATTATGACCACTGTATCTCTGTCACCCCCATGATTGTGACCACTGTATCTCTGTCACTCCATGATTATGACCACTGTATCTCTGTCACCCCCATGATTATGACCACTGTATCTCTGTCGCCCCATGATTATGACCACTGTATCTCTGTCACCCCCATGATTATGACCACTGTATCTCTGTCGCCCCATGATTATGACCACTGTATCTCTGTCGCCCCATGATTATGACCACTGTATCTCTGTCACCCCATGATTGTGACCACTGTATTTCTGTCACCCTATGATTATGACCACTGTATCTCTGTCACCCCCATGATTATGACCACTGTATCTCTGTCACCCCCATGATTGTGACCACTGTATCTCTGTCACTCCATGATTATGACCACTGTATCTCTGTCACCCCCATGATTGTGACCACTGTATCTCTGTCACTCCATGATTATGACCACTGTATCTCTGTCACCCCATGATTGTGACCACTGTATCTCTGTCACTCCATGATTATGACCACTGTATCTCTGTCACTCCATGATTGTGACCACTGTATCTCTGTCACTCCATGATTATGACCACTGTATCTCTGTCACTCCATGATTGTGACCACTGTATCTCTGTCACTCCATGATTATGACCACTGTCTCTTTCAGTCACCCCATGATCATGACCACTGTCTCCCTTGACCCATGAGTGTAACCACTGTCTCTCAGTTACCCCATGATTGTGACCACTGTCCCCCGTTCTCCATAATTGTGACCCCTGTCTCTCTCTTCCTCACCCAAGGATTGTGACCACAAAACGAGGGCAATAGGCATAACGAGGAAGGTAGGCAGATGGTGACAGATAGAACACAGAAAGCAGCAGTAAACAGAGGACAGTCCAGTACTAGCGAGGTAAACACCTCAGCACGGTCGGGCGCCACTGCTGTTTCTTATCCTCATAGCAGACAGATAACAACACCCGTCACAGTTTTGTATCATCATTTGCAGATGGCACTAAAATAAGCATGAAGGAAGCGCAAAATAAACCCAGGGAAAGGAAGGAGCCCCAGAGTATTCAACATCTTACCAGCAGATATCAGAAACACTGCTGGGACATTTGTAGAAGTCTTTAAAAGTAAACTGTGCAAGTGTATCCACCAGGTGTAAGATCATTCAGGTTTTGATGGATATGTGGGCCAGCGAGCCGCCAGCAACAACAGCCTGGAGACCAGGTAAGCGCCAGACAAGCCTGACCCAGGCCCAGGATGCGACCCTTACCAGTAAACTAACACCCACTTGACACACTGTTGAATCCAATATGTTCTTTAAAGTACTCTTTCCAGAGTACTGAAAGAGCACTCTGTATCTGCAACCATAAGTAGAAGACAAAATATTGTCATTACAAAGCATACATTTGGGGATAGTGTTATGACTTTCATTACATAAACTGTTAAGTAGCGTCATATTGCCCTTGTCCTCGTTTTTCAAAATTGACTGAATCATTATTAGTACAATTTTTTCCTTCCAACTCTTTAAACCTCCATTTTTCAGACATGATTTCCACAGCTTCGAATGACATCAACGATGTTTTGGACATCAATGAGAAAGTTAATCAGATGCTTTTTTTTTCCCCCGTCTTGATAAAAGAAATCTGATTTCTGCTCATCTCCCTCCGAAGACCTGGAGCTACTGGTTTACCACTGATCCACAAAGGTACCATTTAACAGACGTTGTATCATATGTTAGTCAAGTCAGTCCTCAAAAACTCTTCAAAATTTTATTCAGGTGCTCATAGCTTCCTTCCCCGATGGCCTTTAAAGTTTTTCTTGGATATGAACATAAATTCAGCGAGCATACTTGTGACTGAAGGAGAAAAACAGAAGTGCAAGGGACTGCAGAATGTACAGATATGGAGAAAAATTGGTTTACCTATGAGATCGAATAAAAGTCAAAAAAAATTGCCTGAAAATTTAATAATGAGGGTTCAGAAGGTGAAAATTAGGAGCAGAACATTCTTTCAGTGCCAACTCTGGTATATATGCATTATACGCTTCATGGAGAAGCTTTGTCATAGCATCGTTTGTCACCTGATTTGGTAACATTTGTTACTTTTAGAAGAGCATCAGTCACTCCTGGAGTTCAATTCCAGCTTTAGCAGCAGCTGATGACGAACCGGAATCAAGAAATATTAACGTCTGTTTTTCTAAGTTGAATCCTCTTTACATTACGAACATATTACCGATTATTTGAGGGTAAGACATTCGAAGCTTATTCATCATTGCATACAGTGACTTCTCCAGTGATCAGAGGCGCGTACCCAGGATTTAGGTAGGTTGTGCTCTTCCTAACTAATTGCATAGCATGTAGAATCATTGATGGGTGATTTGATGATTGTTTTAAAAATGAGAAGAAACCACTAAGGAAAGGTACAACTTTAATAGCATGGACTCCGTGAAGAGCACACCATGTGAGTCAAGGGTCGTTATTCCCATCCTGTTGTTCTTCAAGCTTAGAAGTCACCTCTTTTGCCCATTCTTCTTCCTTTGAGATCTCTGGTTCATCATAGGTGCAATGACGATCTTCTCAACACAGATGCTTGACATTAGAGTTATAGATTCCATACTTGGCCTTGTCAGAATTCCAGTATCACAACCGTTATCTGCCTGCAGCGAATCCTGTATATACACTTGTGTAAAGTGCTGCCAACTTTGGTTACACCAAGCTGTGTATGTACAGATTTGTGCAAGATTCACTTTCTTAAAATTTCTCGTAGGTAAAACTTTTGCTGGCTGACAGCCTGGAGGCTGACAGCCTGGAGGCTCACAGCCTGACTCATGTCTAACAAGTGACTATTATTGGCTGGCTAAACACCTCACCTGCACCCTATGCTCTCCTAATATCTGGAGTAAATTCTCGAACACACGTTATCCGTTCCCATCATGAATACACATTATTCCTCCACCTACCTAATTCTGACATATCTTTTTAAAAGAAATCCGGTCGATGACATTTATAATTTCTAGAAAAAAATCTGATGCAATTTCCAAGTGATCTATCGCTTCCTCTAACACAAAAATTGCCTTCACCTTACTGCCAAAGGATTTTCTTCAACAATGAAATCTTACTGCAGAGAAGTGTGGGCAATATGAACTTTGTTGCAATTGCAAAGATACTGTATGTTGCTTTCCCCATGTGGCCACATTATTATATATATATATATATATATATATATATATATATATATATATATATATTATATATATATATATTATATATATATATATATATATGTCGTGCCGAATATGTAAAACTGGTCAATTAGCAAGAACTCATTTAAAATTAAGTCCTTTCTAAAATTTTCTCTTATACGTTTAAAGATATATTTTTTTCATTAATACTGATGTAAAAATTTATAATTTTGCACCAAAAGGAACTTAGAAAACTTACCTAACCTTATCATAACTAGCGCAATTTATTTTAGCCTAACCCAACTAAATATATTTTAGATTTGTTTACAATAATTTAATACTAAACAAACACAGTGAAATATATTTTTTTCGTTAGGTTCAGAATGATTTTGGCGAAATTATTGCATAAACAAATTTTCACTTGTCCTATATGGCAAGATGAGCGTTTGCTATTTAAGCCAAGATGGCATGTTCTGCCTATTCGGCACGACATATACATATATATATATATATATATATATATATATATATATATATATATATATATATATATATATATATATATATATATATATATATATATTATATATATGTGTGTGTGTGTGTGTGTGTGTGTGTGTGTGTGTGTATACATGGGTGTATGTGTCTGTGTGTTTGTATCTGTGTATTTTTGTTTGTGTTCGATCTGGGATTACCAGCTCCGTGCCATCAGTCACTAGACAAGTGAAATTCATAAGGGTTTCCCGACCAGAATGCTTGAAAGGTTAGTGATAGCCACTATCTGCGACCCAATCACGAGTGTTTATGGAATACCCATGAGTTAACCAGCAGATGTAAACATAGCCTAAACGCTCTTCAGAGAATATTGTGAGAGGTCTCTCTCAGTCACCTCTTTCATTCACTCTTCTTTTACAATAACAAAAATTCCCTTGTTTTTCCTTCATTCGACATTGTTATTTTGAAGTATTAGACACATGTGCAACATTTGGGTAGCTTTATTACAGATGTGTCGCCATCCAGTGACTTTATCACTATAATACAAAGACATAATGTCAAGAATGTAGATTTATAGACAGAATATGGTTTGTCCTTGTACTGATAAAGTCACTAGTCAGCGAAACGTCAACAATAAAGATAGCCAAATGTTGCACATGTATCTAATTCTTCATCTTGTCGGTACTGTTTACCATTCACAGGTACAACATTGTTGTTGTAACAGACAAAATTTCATTACTTAATATAAGCATTGCATTTAATTATGTTAATACAGCAATGATATACCACTCTGAGCGTTTATATACTGTCACCTTTACCATTGCGTCAGAAAATTTTAATGCGTGTCGGGCAGCCGTAAAATTTTCTGACGCAATGGTAAAGGTGACAGTATATAAACGCTCAGAGTGGTATATCATTGCTGTATTAACATAATTAAATGCAATGCTTATACTAAGTAATGAAATTTTGTCTGTTACAACAACAATGTTGTACCTGTGAATGGTAAACAGTACCGACAAGATGAAGAATTAGATACATGTGCAACATTTGGCTATCTTTATTGTTGACGTTTCGCTGACTAGTGACTTTATCAGTACAAGGACAAACCATACCCCCGGCCGGGATTCAACCCGCGGTCATAGAGTCTCAAAACTCCAGCCCGTCGCGTTAACCACTAGATCAGCTAGCCACAATAAGATTCATCCAACTAGGTATATTTCTACACCATAGGAAGGTTAGCACAGGCACCACTGTGACCACAAATGCAAGTTTTTACAGACGAATCTCCAGCTAGCGTGGCCGTGACGAACTCTAGCTCAAGTCCCTTCACTGCCGTCAACATGACTTAAGAAATCGTAATGACACGATTGCAAACAAACCATACCCGGCGGGATTGAACCCGCGGTCATAGAGTCTCAAAACTCCAGCCCGTCGCGTTAGCCACTAGACCAGCTAGCCACAATAAGATTCATCCAACGTGTCATTACAATTTCTTGAGTCAGTACAAGGACATAATGTGAAGAATATAGAACTATATAAAAAAGATGAGGGACTGATTACCTTATATTCTGCATATAAATCTACATTCTTGACATTATGTCTTTGTATTGTAGTGATAAAGTCACTGGATAACGACACATCTGTACATGTTGCACATGTGTCTAATTCTTCATAGACAGGTAGACAAGGGGGCAGGGAGATAGATAGACAGGAGGGCAGGGAGATAGGTAGACAGGAGGGCAGGGAGATAGACAGGAAGGCAGGAGGGCAGGGAGATAGATAAGTAGACAGGAGGACATTGTGATAGACAGGTAGACAGGAGGGCAGGGAGATAGACAGGTAGACAGGAGGGTAGGGAGATAGATAAGTAGACAGGAGGACATTGTGATAGACAGGTAGACAGGAGGGCAGGGAGATAGACAGGAGGGCAGGGAGATGGACAGGAGGGCAGGGAGATAGACAGAAGGGCAGGGAGATAGATAGGCAGACAGGAGGGCAGGCAGATAGATAAGTAGACAGGAAAACATTGTGATAGACAGGTAGACAGGAGGTGGGCAGGGAGATAGACAGGAGGGCAGGGAGATAAACAGGTAGACAGGAGGGCAGGGAGATAGACAGGTAGACAGGAGGGCAACGAAATAGACAGGTAGACAGGAGGGCAGGGAGATAGACAGGTAGATAGGAGGACAGGGAGAGAGACAGGTAGGTAGGAGGGCAGGGAGACAGACAGGGGGACAGCAAAACAGACATGTAGGCAGGTAAGCAAGGAGACAGAGTGGAACAATGAACAGGCAGAGAAGCAGTGGAGCAGGGAGGGACAGGCAGACAATCAGTGGAACAATGAGACAAGCAGACAATTAGGGGCGCAAGGAGAAAGGCAGGCGAGACAGGGATATTAGCCAGGCAGACAGTCAGTGGAGAAGGAAAGCTGGGTAAGGAAGGCAGGATATAGTTGAGTTAGGTGGGGAACACCTGACAGTCGCTCACTGTCCTCGGTTGCGGACTCTCACCTCTCTTGTTCGTCACTGTTCACCAGTAATTATATAACTAGCCACGACGTACTACCGTCTTATCCCTCAGTATACCTGTTTTGAAGTGTCCAGGTAAGTCACAGTGGTCATATAGAAGCATATTATAATATATAATAATATATATATATATATATATATATATATATATATATATATATATATAATATATAATATATAATATTATATATATATATATATATATATATATATATATATATATATATATATATATATATTATATATATATATATATATATATATATATATATATATATATATATATATATATATTTATATATGTGTGTGTGTGTGTGTAGTTTTTCGAGGCTTGGCTGACTGGTTCAGATATGTGGATGACATCTTGTGTCTTTGGCCAAATTATATGCCCCTGGATACATTTTTACCGAGACTTAATGCTCTATTAAATGCACCGTGGAGAAAGAAGTAGACTCTACACTTCCGTTCTTAGATGTTTCATACACCGGGTTAATAGATAGTTCAAGTTCACAATATATAGGAAAGTTACTAATGCTTCCTCATACATCCACTACTATTCTAACCATGAAACAAGAATAAAAGGGAGTTCCTTTCTCGTTATAATTCAGAGAGCTTACCGAGTACGTAGCCCAGTTTCTCGATGAGGAAATTAGGAAAATATCTGATATTGCCATAAAACTATGGTACCTTAAGGAGTTTGTCGACTCAGCATTGCTGGCAGCTTGGAAAACTTATTATAGAACCGAACCTAGAACAATACCTCAGATAAAGAATGTACTGGTACTTCTATACAATGAGAATTTATCTGTCGTACCGAATGCCCTTAAAAGATCCAAATCAAACACCGTACCCACTGCCCCCACCCCCCTCATCACAAACTCCGCCTCCACAGCAACCCCCATAATTCCCGACCATGTCTCCCGCTCCCTCAACCCCAACGTTCTCTCCAGTCCCCATTTTTAAGAAAGGAGAAAGACACGAAGGTTTGGTATACGAATGAAAGGGGGAATAAAAAAAAATGTGAAAAGTGTCATGGAAGAATCAAGGAGACGTCCCTAGCCATCATAGCACTCACAGAAACAAAACTCACCGGGATGATAACAGACGCAATCTTCCCACCCCGATATCAGATCCTCAGGAAATATGAAGGGAGCAGAAGGGGAAGAGGAGTTGCACTTCTTTTTTAAAAATCAAGGGGGGTCGAAAAAAGGGAAGGATGGGGAAATGGGCAAAAGGGAAAATAAAAAGTAAAAATTAAGGTACATTCAGTGATGTACATTGCAGGATGTAAAACCCTCCACGAACTGGGAGAAAAGGAAGAATATGAGAGAGCAAGGGTGGACCACTAGGTGAGGTGCCAGAAGAGTCACAGGGTAGAGCAAAGTTACTAGTTATAGGTGATTTCAGTCACAGGAATTGAGGGAAAAACCGGGCCACAGGGGGGTCTCAAACTTTGGGAGCCAAGAGTTTGATTGGTAGGGAAAGCCCTTTCATCAACATTTAGGGACACTACCGAGAGAGAGAGGGGGCTAAAACCAGAAGACGGCCCTCCATTCATCGGAGCTCGGACATAAAGGACATCACATATAAAAGGGCCCCCGAGCTAGGATCACGGGCCGGCTTTAAATACATAGTAGAGTTAAAAGGGGGGGTTTTAAAGGGTGGAGGGGGAAAGCCAAAACTCCCCAAACGGGGCTATAAAGGCTGAAAATTTTTCCTCAAGAAGTTCAGTGGGAAAGGAATTATTTTGGAAATCAGTAAATGAAATAAGGGGACTACGTGAAAAACAAAATGCAAGGGGAGGAGAGGTTTGCCCCCAAGAGCAACAGGAAAAATGGGAAGACCAAACAGCCTTGGTTTAGCCGAAGGTGTAGGGAGGGAAAAAATTACGTGTGCTAGAGAAGGGAAAAAGTACAAAAAAAAAAGGCCCCGGGAAAAATAAAGAGTTTAGTTAAAGCCAGAAAGATATGCAATGAAAGGGGAGGGGAATGGGGAGGAAGAAAATCAGGCTGAGGAAAGGAAAGGGGGGAAAACAAGAAAACCCCAAGAAGTATGTGGGAGCTCAACATGAGATTTAAGGAAGTATTTACAGTGCAGACGAAAAAACTAAGGAAGTCAAAATAGGGGGTACACCAACAAAGGATATACCAAAAGGCTGGATAAATACACACAACCGAGGGGGAGGTGAAAAAGCTGCTAACTAAAATTGATACCTAAAAGGGGGGGGGACCAGCAACTCTTCCATGGTACTTAGAGGGGGACGGATGCTGTGTGTGCCACAACAACAAATTTTCAACACATCCATTGAAACGGGGGCAATACCCAAGGTATGGAAGACGACAAATGTAGTCCCCTTTTTTAAGAAGGAAAAGATTTGAATTTTTGGGGTATACAAATACCTGTAGCAAAGTCATGGAGAGATTACAGGAGGGAGTGGTGGGCTCTAGAACAGAAGCTTATAAACGACAACCGCACCCAGTTTGGGAAGGAAAAACCCGTGCCCAAAACCTACTGGAGTTAAAGTTAAGGTAAGGGAAAAAAGACATGGAGGAGGGGGGATAGATGCATTTTCTTGGCTAAAGAAGGCCCTTCGACTCATTTCTGTTAGGGGGTGACTGATCCTCTAGAAAAAAGCTAGAGGATAGTCACGCTTTAACATAAAGGGCAGTAAATGGATCAGGGAATCCCTGACAGGGAGGCAACAACGGTCATAGTAGTGACGGGGTGTGAAGTGGGTGCCTGTGACGAGGGGGGTTCTACAGGGGTCAGTCCTAGGACCAGTGCTATTTTGTTATATGTGAATACCCAAATGGAAGGGTGGGGTCTCAGATTGTTCTGTCTGCAAATGATGTAAGTTAATGAGGAAATTAAATCGGATAGAATTAGGCGGAGAAATAAAGACACCTGGACAGGGTGCAAGCTGGTTCCCAAAATGGCTCCCCGAATTTGCCCACCAAAGCAAAGCAAGAAGATTGGGGGGAAAAGCAAAGAAAAACCACAGACAGAGTATAGGCTAGGTGGCCAAAAAACTGCAACCCACTCAAGGAAAAGGATCTTGGAGTGAGTATAATACCGAGCCAAAATCCTGAGGTGTGCATCCACAGTAAAGCGCAGCATATGGGCGTCTAGCAAAAACCCGAGAATAGCGTCCCACATCTCACCTTGTACATCAGGCCCATACAGCAGTAGCAGCATCGTTTGGAAAACCACACCTGGCTAAACAGTCAAAAAATTAAAAGAAAGTTTTCAAAGGTTTGAAAAACGGGAAATCGGCCTGCAACACTGAAGGCAGGAGGGCTAAGGAAAACATATAATGGGATACAAAATTATTGCGAGGAATTGACAAGGTGGACAGAGACAGGATGTTCCAGGATGAGACACAGAAAAAAGGGGCCAAATTGGAAGCTGAGACTAGAGATTCAAGGGATTTGAAAGTATTTCTTTAGTCATGAGTTGTCAGGAAGTGGGCAGTGCAAGTGACGTAGAGGGCAGGAACATACATTTTTTAAGACGAGGTTTGAAAAGCTATGGAGCAGAGAGGAACCCAGAGCGATCAGTAAAAGGGAGGGCCAGAGCTATGGCTCGACCCTTGCAACCCTAAAAAGGGGAGCATAAAAGGTGAGTACGTGCCACGGATCGGTTGTAATGGCGCAAATTTTCTTACATGGACAGCGGCAAACCTTTTGATGTCAGGGTAACACAACCCAATATTCGTACGAACGGCAGGAATCAAAGAATTTTTACCACACTGGGGGGTGCAAAACCAAATTGGTCAGAAGCCAGAGTCCCCGGGTTTCCGCTCCCCTTGGCTGGAAAAAGGTTTTGAATCAACAATTTAAAAAAAGATAAACGTTCATCATTAATAATAGTTTGGTTATTCAAAATTTATAACTTATAACTGAAGGGATTGTACACAAACTAAAGCTGGATTCCTGCTTGAACCTTTAGACTGTCATAAATCGGTTTTACACGTGAATTGATGAGCACTGGTTTTTAGTTCTCTGCTCACCCTTCGGATAAGCCAGTGTGTACCCGGGGGTTAGGTGGGTCAGCCCTGGAAATTTCATCGTTTCCCCCTACGCTTCTCCTGCCCCCCTTTTTTTTTATGCTAAAAAGGGAAATTTTCCCACTGAAAAATGCAAGAACTTTTGAGTCATAATATAGTCTTTTTAATGATTTCCCAATAGGGATTGATGAGGTGTTTGGGGATATTTGACATATCACTAATGTTATGGTCTTTAAAAATTTTTAAAGTGGGGGGCTTTTTTCGCTTTTTTTTATTTTTAAAACCCGCTTTCATTTTTTGGACCCGGGGATGGCTGCTTGATGCCCTTATTTCTAGCTAGAAAAATTTAAAATAAGTAAAAGTTTACAGGTATAACCAAAAACAGTTACATAGAATTATATAATAGCAGCAATGTTTGAAACCTGGATAACCCCAAAAAAATCAGACAGAGTGACTTATTTTCCCTTGGGGTCCTTTTACCTTATTTTATAATAAAAGGTTATAATATTTCTTTATATTCTATTTGAAGAAAAAATTTATTATCATACTAAAAGACTATTCACCGAGGGTCTTAAGATATCTACAATAGAGGGGGATTACTAGGGTTTAAGGGAAATTTACCGTATGTTAGAAAAAAATAGAAACATTCCCCTCCCTTTTTGACTACATTCACAGGACCTTTTGGCACTTTTCTTGAACTGGTTCATGCTAGACTGGCTTTGCATGGGGGATTGTTCCATTCCTTTATGCTGTACAATAAAGGGGTTTGAAGCCTGGCCAATGACAGTGGGACTACAAAAGTTTTCTCTCTCCCCCTAGTAAGATTGCTTTGTTTCCCAACCTTGACAAAATTTACGCGATATTTGGACACGTTTGTGAGCAATTTTTTTAAAAATGATTTTGCTTCAGTTGTTTTCTCTGTCTTAACTTTTAGCATATCCAAATGCGTAATTTTACCCGGCCTCATGTTTTCTTGGTCCCAGCCCCCGGATGAAATTTTCATTTTATTCGGGTGATTTGCGTCTATCTTTCAGTTTTTTTGTCAAGGGGGTACATGAAGACAAGCGTA